GTAATTAAAATATTTTTAACTCATACATGTTTATAAAGATGCCTTTAAAGGATTTTAAATATTAGAAGCTAAAATTTGAAAATGAAACTGCAAAAAAAGCAAAATAAAAGCATTACTTGGTTCAATCTCTTGTACAGTAAAAATGCTTTAACAAATAAAAAACTTTTTTTAAAGTAGTAGACAAACAATTCCTTCCTGCATTAAATTTTTGATTGAAATATATAAATTTTATTATTATATAAAATAATGTTAAAGTTATAGCTGTACAAAAAACTTGGAAAAAAATTTAAAAACTTATGTCAAAAGAACTTTTCGTGATATTAAATTAAATATGCAGTTGTGGTGTAAAAAGCGCTCGCTTTATAAGCGAGAGGTTCCGAGTTCGATCTCCACCACGTCCCTGGTAGTACCGCGCTCAACTTGTTTCTCCGCGAAGCGGCTTTATTTGTCAAGGTTCGTGTTTCGGAGTTATAGAGTTAAGAGTGGGTTGTAACCACAAAAAAAAGCCTCCTTGTCTGTAGTGGCCTTCTCGGTCTTCAGGAGTTATCAAAAAAAACTTAAGTTACCAAAAGAAAAAAAAAAAAAAAAATAGATTCAATTCAGAGATCATCCAGGTCATATTTTAAAAAACCATATAAACATTTTCCAAAAAAAAAAAATCCGATATAAATTTCCTATTTATCTCTCTTATACTCTTAACTGATGTTATCTCAATTTTTTTTGAGAGTTAAAGAGTTTAGAGAGGTTTGTAACCACGAAAATTATCCTCTGTAGTGTCTTTTAAAATTAATCTGCTGTAGTGGTCTTCTCAGCCTTAAAAAGATAAGAAAAAATTTTTTTTAACTTTTTTCTATCAAGTTATAAACAAATTCTCATTTTAATAAAGATTTTCAAAAAAAAAAAAAAATATTTTTATTTGGATTGGAGTCGACCGAAAAAGTTAAAATCTGATTTCAATTATGACAACAATTTTCTTCTCTCAAAAGTACTTTTTTTTTTTACTTAAAGAAGAAACTTTTCGGTTAAATGAAAAGGCAGACATATCAAGAAGCCGTTCTTCAAAAAGTTATAACAAATGAATAAGGTTATATAAATTGTATATTATAAATCCAGTCATCCAAACCAATTTAATAGCATTAATGCATAACCAATACATTAATTCTGGTAATTTAGTTTGTATCTTCAGTACATAGGGACCAGTATACAAAAGAAACTAACTGTATTGCCTTTTTTATTTTAAACTCCACCAATAATCAGAATAGTTAATTATGCGCATCGCATGTTTTTGACTACGATAAAGAAGTTTTAACATACTTTTTGCAATACTCCCCTAGTAGTGTTAGCATAAATTATGTGAATAAAAGAATAATAAGCAATTTTTTAAGGTAGTTACAAGCTTTTTATCCATCCAGGAGATGTTTTTATCGAGATAAACGTCTGAGAATTTTGTAACGGATTCATTTTTTAATTCAATTTTGTTTACTAAAGTTAGTTGGTAAAAATTACTTTTTTGCATACGAATGGAATACATTTGGTTTTATTAATACTTAAAGTTAGCTTATTACATTTAAACTAGTTTTATTCCTTTATTCATAGTGGTAAAGAGTTTATATATGTCACTGCTTGAGAGAAAAAGATTGGATCATCTGCATACAAGATACTTATAAGGTTAGAAGCATTATTCAAATCATTTATATATATCAAGAAAAGTAGGGGTCCGAGGATTGAACCCTGAAGAACACCGCGTTCGATATCAAGATAACTTTTTGATAACCCTCGTTACTAATTACAAATTGTTTTCTTTTTATTAAGTATTTTCTAAACCATTTTAAAGCATTTTAATTCCATAATATTTAAGTTTTTGTAGTAAAATATAATGACAACTGTGTCGAATGCTTTTGATAAGCCAATTAAAATACCTAACAAGTACTGTGATTTTTCAAAAGATTTTGAGATTTTATGAACAACCTGAATTATTGAATTCTCTGTTGAGTTACCTTTTATTAAAGCCAAATCGTTTGTTACATAGTAAGTTTTATTTGTTGAGATATTTGTATATTCTATTATACTTTATTCTTTCTAAAATTTTTGAAAATACCGAAAGAACAGAGATGGGACGATAGTTGCTAATATTTGATATGTGACCTACGATACGATAGTTGCTAATATTTGATATTTGACCTACGATACGATAGTTGCTAATATTTGATATGTGACCTACGATACGATAGTTGCTAATATTTGATATGTGACCTACGATACGATAGTTGCTAATATTTGATATGTGACCTACGATACGATAGTTGCTAATATTTGATATGTGACCTACAATACGATAGTTACTAATATTTGATATGTGACCTACGATACGATAGTTGCTAATATTTGCTATGTGACCTACGATACGATAGTTGCTAATATTTGATATGTGACCTACGATACGATAGTTGCTAATATTTGATATGTGACCTACGATACGATAGTTGCTAATATTTGATATGTGACCTACGATACGATAGTTGCTAATATTTGATATGTGAACTACGATACAATAGTTGCTAATATTTGATATGTGACTTGAAGAGAGGAGCAACTTTAGCAATTTTTAATTGCTCTGGAAATTTTCCTTGATTAATTGAAGCTTTAAAAACTTTAAAAAGAACATGTTTTAATATAACAAAACAGTAATTACATTTCCCATAAATTTAATCTATTCCTGTTGATTTGTTTCTTTTTTAAATAAATATTTAACCATAAAATATAAAGTTTACAATAATAAACTGTAAAATTAAGTAAGTTTAGGTTAAAAGATAGTAAATGAAGCTTCAACCTAAAAACAGTTGTGTCATGTAGAAAATAAAAGTCCTTGAACGGTTGAATAATATAAAAAGTGCCGGAACGGCGTTCCGCACCGGCTCTATGACATCACTGCCTCAAAATAAGAAAAAAAAAAGTTGAACAAAGAAAAGTAACATAACAAAGAGAAAAAAAAAAAGTAAAAAAAAAAAATAAGTTAATAAACGACATGTATAAAACAATATTTCGAATAAAACTACAATATAATAGTATACAATAGCAAAAACTATAACAAATGATAACAATTGTAAAATTTACAATAGTAAAAGTAACCACAATATAATTTATAATTACAAAAGGTAAATTAATTCCAATTTACCAGTTTTTGTTAAAAAAACAACAAGTTTACTGCGACAAAAATTGTAAAGTTCTTTCATAAAATTCTTACAACTATTATGTTTTAAATATTATTTTAATAAAACAGGTGTTAAACCAGGTAATACAAATGCAGTATAAAAATACTAATTGGTGTATGCCAAAATAAAATTAAAAAATAGAAATAATGTATAATAAAGCAAATAAACAAACTTTAGGTGGCTCATAGGTTAAAAAACACTTAAAGATCAAAGTTTTGTTTTTTAGGTTATCTTATTTAAATTTGTTTTAGATTCAGAAAATATTTTATATTCATTTAAACTTAATATTATAAGTAAAATCCATTTATTTGAAGGTTTTTTAGCCTCTATAGTACGGCCCTAGCAATGGCAAGTTCCTGTCTTTTTAGTGAACTATATTCAATAATGAAAGTTAAAAATAATGGAAGCAAAATAAAGTTCCATTTCAAATTTAAAATAACATCATGAGTTTTATGTAATTCTGCTAGTCTCTCGAGTAATTGATAAGGAGCACACCCAAAAAATTCAAGTTGATTGCTGTTTTAAAAAATATCTGTTATAAGTTTTGTGTAATATTAAAAAAAAACAATTCTGTAAAAAACATTTAAAAAACATATAATAGTACACATGCAACAAGCAAAAACCATAAAGACACCGACACCAGGTTGCAAAAGCAATTTGGCACTGAATCAACATAATAATCAAGACATAACACCATTTTTGATAGACAGCAATTTTATAATAAAATTCTACTACACTGTGTGTTGGAAACATGAAGATATTCTGAAGATGAAGATATTTTGAATAAGTTTATAGGATTCTAGGAGTCACGACATTAAAAGAGTGTGTATATTTTGTTAAAGGATTGTCAATAAATTATGCAACGCGAAAGGAATTTGAAAAACAGAAGGAGCCCATTTTCTTATTTGCGCAGCAGTTTTCATTGAACTTATGGGCGTGAAATATTTTAAGTTGAATAAAAACTACTGCCCAAAAGAGCAAATAGTCTCCTACTTCTATTGTTTAAATTCCTTTCGCGTTGCGTAATTTATGTACGGTCTAATCAAAAAAATTATTTATAATTTTTTTTAGTGTATTGGTGGATAATGATAATAACTTTTTCATTTAAAGTTATTTGGAAAGATTCATCATTAAAATGCAGAGGTTATTTTTTTTAACCAAAACAATGTTTCTTAGTGATAGTCGTCGTCTGAAAAGTATAGGCGTTGAATTTAAAATTAGCTTCGCTTAACCTGACGGACAAATTTGTATCAAAATTGTTTTTAAACATGATGAAAACTTTTTCCATAAAATCTTTTAACCATTAATATAAAAATTAGCGATTGCTTCAAATAAAATACTGGTTTTGGGCCCACCGCAATTCGCAATTTACGATCGCTTAATTCGCCCCTTAAATGATGACAGCGAGTATAAAATTAAACATAACTGAATAAATAACTATAACAATGATAACAAAAGCTAATACTACTACAGAACCACTATTTTTGTAAATAAATAAATAAAAATAATACTAGTAATAAAGTTAAACATAAAATTATAAAATTAAAAACAATAACAGCTTTATTAAAGCAGTAATATATTGAAGCAAAAGGATATAAAATACAATTAAAATTTGTTAGATATATACTCAAATAAAAATTTCTTTATTTGCTTTCTATTTAGAAGAAAGTTACAAATAAAGAAGTATTAAGGTAAAATTTATAAATATTATTGATTGGTTTTAGAAAAATATTAATTTAATATCACGATCGCTACTTTGTTAAAATTATTAATTAAAAACAAAACAAATCTTATTGCAATTTATTAAGTAATTAAGTAAGTTTACAATCGAACAATTTTTGCTGAGTCATTATTTGTCTTATCCAATGTTCTCGTTAATTCAATTCGTTATTAATGATTCTTTATCTGATTAATTACTGTCTGTCTCATAAGATTTTCCTTTAGAAAATTTTCTTTTCACTGAATCAACAGCAGCAGGTTTGTATTCAACAATTTTTAAGGACTTAATTTGAGATTCAGATGGGTCACCACCATCGACGACGGATACAGAAACTGGTCCGATGTAAGGTCCTAAAGGTATTCCCTTATAGTTTTCATCGGTCCACATATATACAGCAAGTCCACCAGGAACACGCATACTTTTTATTTTGTTTTCCTCGCTGCTCCAAAGACATCCATGAATCAAGAGTTTAGGGTAAAGCTAAAAAGTCATATTAACTACAAAAAGATTTTATGACTTAATAAGAATTTAAAAGCGGAGGACAGCAGTTAGTTATTATATAAATTTATTTTGTTGCTACATTCAAAATATAGTTAATATTACTTAATATATATTAGAAAAAACTATCTATTTCATTTTTTATCATCTACATTTCTTCACATTTCATCATTTTAATAAAATAGCTTTCGAATGCAATTCCTACATATTTACATAAATAAGAAAATAATAAATATTGAAATTTGAGAAAAACTGTTCTTACCTTTGTTTCAATAAAATCACACATCTGAGAGAAAGATGGACCACGACAAATCTTAACCATCTCAGAGGACTTCATGTGAGTATTAGATACTTTCATGGATTTTGTTGTAGCTCCTCCACATACTTCATCAATAGTGTTAGCACCATAAAATGGACCATAAGTAGTTCCTGATAAATTAAATTACAAATAATTATGAGAATATTAAATTTTAGAAGAACTTTTCAGGACAAACCCTAACTATACCTCTGGAGATTGTGTAAAAATGTTATACAATAACAATATTCTAATTAATAAGTTGGGAGTTACTAGAAAAAAAATTAGAGTTATAGAGCAAGGAAACGGTTGACAGAAGACCTAAAAAGTTGAAGATTGTATAGAAATAAAACATAATCAGGAAAACATGAAAATGGGAGAGTTCCAAAGGGTCGAAGTGCGGGGGAAAAGAAAAAAGTTTTTGGAGCATGCAGGGACAGATAAATTAAAAGAACGAGACTCCGATGAATGACGAGTCAATCGACAATGAGTTTTAGTTGATGGAGCTAGAGATGATAGCTCCTTTGAGCAGCGACCATGATAGTATTTCTAGAAAAGAGAAAGAGATGCAACTTAATGACGAAGGGAAAGAAGCTTAAGCTTAGCATATAGACCGGGTCCAACTAAGTTTACAATGCATTGTTAGACCTTGTCTAGAAGAGAAAGAGCATCATTAGAAGAACCAGCCCAAATATGAAAACAGCATCCCATACAGGGACGAATAAGAGATTTGTAAAGGTAGAGAATGGAATCAGGAGAGAGAAAATGGCGAGTACAATGAAGAGAAGCAACCTTAGCAGATGCTAATTTAGCAATTGATTGTATATATGGTTTCCATGAAAGGTCAGTAGTAAACTATAATCCAAGAAGACGTAAAAAAGAGGACTTAGTAAGAGGGTTGCCATTCATTAATATAGAAATGTCGACAGTACTGCGATAGTTGTTTGCAGTAAACAAATGAATTTTATTGGGGTTAATATTTACAAGCTACTGTGAGCCCCAATCTGTTACAGAAGTGAGATCAGATTCAAGATCGGCTGCCTGTTCTAAGTGATTGAAAAGAAAAGAACTTTTGTCAAGACAAGAGTATAAACAAGACAATAGTATAAACACATCAGCAAAAAGAGCTACTTTAAATTTCTGGCTGAATACAAGATGTTATGTAAGAGGCGCATTTCTAAGAGGGAAAAGACATCACCTCAAGAACCGTCACAAAGAAAATCTTAAAAAAAAGCTTTAGGGTAGTAGTAAATTGTACGATGATTAAGGTGAGTCCGGAATTGAAGGTCAGAACGACCTAAAGGAGAAAATGGAGAGCCTGAACACAAGCTAGGATCAGAGACTAGACATAAATCAAGGAGTAAAGGTAAATGATTAGGGTTTTACCTATGTGGCCTCAACAATGCATACCCAAAAGCATAAAGAGGGACACCCTCTATGCGCAAAATGACACTGTTAATACTTTGATATTTTGCAGCTGTTGATAGAATCAGCCTCTTTGAGAGCTACCACAGAGTTCAGGAAACCTTATTACCAGCCGGCCTCAGAACCGTTAAATTGAGTTTTAGAGCTTTACCCTTATTAGGACATATCAGGTAAATCTAGCATTTATCATCCTAGCATCAATCCAAGAAACAATGTAACATAGGTTTACATCTATCCCAGCCTAATAGATAAAGAAGGCTTTCAAGGCTGGTTAGCAGAATTATTCTGCTTACTTTGTCTAGGAGGCCACCTAAAAGACAGTAGCTGGATGCAGTTGCCTGAGACAAGTATTTTTATTGAAACACTATCTCTAGCCTTTACTCAACAACGAGCCCCAAAGCAGGGGATTTTTAAGTTGAAGTTAGTTTCTCTTAGCCTTTGCCTATAAAAGCACTCTACAAGGCAGCAAGGCATAAGGCAGGTAGTACTGGGTTACATGATACTAGTAGCAAGGTGATTGTGATGATCCTGAACCTGACCTAACCTGGAATAATTAAAAGAAACTACTTCCTACAAACAGTACCTCAAAATATTGGGCATAGTATTTTAGAAATGGATCAGGAAAAATATTACATCAAACAAAATACTAGAGATAAGGTTGAGCGAAGGTTTTATAGTTATAGTGTTTTGTTAGTTAATGAGCTCACACTGCATCAAAACAGATTAAACATTTAAACAGAACACTAAAACATTTAAACAGAACACATACATAAATAAAGTAACTTATGGGTAAAACAACACTGCGCCAGAGGTAGGCATCTGCGTAAGGAGAAAAAATTCCGACAACCGTGTTACCGCATATTCTCGGAAAATATTTATGACCTCTTGCGGTTTTCTAAAAAATTTTTTTTTTAATTTTACGACTCTGCGGTTAAACCCAGATTGAGTTTAGTTGGTGTTAAACGATTTCATTACATTTTGTAAAACATACATTTATTACTAATATCTATATTTTTAATGTTAAAAACTAGGGGCCTACGTAGAGAAAATTTGTTTTTCAATTTTCAATTTTAAAAAGTTCAACGCAATGACAAACTGTGAAAAGTTTAAAATAGAAAATTTCGTCAAAAATCTTGCTTTATTTTTTGATGGATTGACTTCTGATACCAATTTGAGGCGGGTTTCATGTTCCTCAGATGTTTCCAGCAGTTTGGCCACTCTTTTCACGGATGTCTCATCAAGTTTGGTCAGCCTCAAGTTTGCTTGAAGATAAACAAGCATTTGCACATTTTCTGGGTCAAGTCTTGTCCGTAGGTCAGTAACAACATTACAAGCAACAGAAAACAGCCTAAAACATTTTTTTATTTTCAAAATTTGGGAAAAAAATTCAAAATTTCAAAGTTCAGTATTTTAAATCACTGTTGTTCGTCTACAACTCACGAAGTCGCAAAGCACATGATTAATTCCCACCAAAAATATGTGTACAGCGATACATGAAAAGATAGAACACAAACACACAGATGGCAAACATACACAAACATACATGTAGAAACTTACGGGTGAGTCAACACAGCGCCATAGGTTTAAACAGAACACAAACATGCATATAAAGTAGATTAAAGGTGAGCTAAAACAGTAAACTAAGGCATGTCTAACTATATAAAAAACACACAATATATATATATACATATATATATATATATATATATATATATATATATATATATATATATATATATATATATATATATATATATATATATATATAGGGTTATATCTATCTATCTATATATATATATATATATATATATATATATATATATATATATATATATATATATAGATATATATATATATATATATATATATATATATATATAGGGTTTCTGATTATTCAAGCTTTTTACTATTTGTAAATATCGGTTTGTAGAACCTTACTATTTGCAAATAACAAATAATATTCAAATAGTTTCGTTTTTGTAGTTTTTTTTTTAATTTAGTTGTTTTTTTCAATAACTATTCTATTACTCGTGTTTTCGTATTATAAATTAAACAAAACTTAGGTCTTGAATAAGGTCTTGAATTTTTGAGAGGACTGATATATATATATATATATATATATATATATATATATATATATATATATATATATATATATATAAAATTAAAGTCTAAAAACATCATCATCAGTTTTCAGGTAATAGTTAAATTAATAAGTTTTTGTGTAATAGTTGAAATAAAAAATCTTAATAACTCATTAATAATTGATTTATTAAATTTGTCTGATATATCAAACGATTTTAAGAGAATTTAAGATACTAAATAGTGGTATAAATAACTCCATACTGACAAAAATGCTTTTCCCTTGTATACCGACGATATGCAAAATATATCAAGCTAAATCTGTGATCACCTAGGTCAGTTTTAAGATCATCACAACCACCCTGTTACTAGTATCATGAAATCTAGGATTACCTGCCCCATTGCTTCGTAAGGCAAAGATTTGGAGAAATAAAATCCAACATAAAAATTCCCTGTCTTAGAGTCTTTGTTGAGTTTAGGCAAGAGATGGTGTCTTGATAAAAGTACTCATCAGTTGTTAACTGCATCCAGCTACTTTCTTTTAGAAAGCAAAGACTTTAGGAGTAAGCAGAACAATTCAGTTGGCAAGTCTTGCACCCCTTCTTTATCTATTAGGCTAGCATAGATGTAAACCTGTGTTATATTGTTTCTTGCCTAGGATAATGAATGCTGGAACATCAATTATACTCATAGAATTTTGCTTGTGCCTTCATGATACTGGGTTTTGTGATTTGTTCTTTTTCTTTCAATAGGGCAAATTAAAGACTAGAATGTTTTTAAGAACATACAGAATGTTTTTATTTTTAAAATAAAAACATTTTAAGTGTTTTATTTTTATTTTTTTACTGTTTACATACATGGACAAATGGTTAAAACATGCATGGAATGTTGCTACATTGAATGATAAATAGTTAGAACATGCGAGGAGGGCTACTAAAAGAAAATAAGGGTTTGGTTTAGGCAAGCAGTTATTAATTTAAAAAAAAAGTTTTAAAACTTTTTTTGGTTTTCTAAATGATTATTTTTTAAACCAGACATAGCAATATTTACTGGAATTCTGTATTAGCTAGATGTGTCTTTAACCATAATCTCCATAAGACCAAAGTATCTCCACTTTAGTCAAAAAAGGAAGCTTATGTGAACTGCAGGCATTTAGACTGTTGTTTCTTAAGTGTTTACATACAGTAGTAGTACTCATCTTTAGTTTTAGATCATCTTTAATATCCTTGGACAATAAAAATGTTTTGCCTTAAACAAATTTCTTTGATCTTCCTGTGCAGTAAGTTTTCCACTTTAATTTTAAAACTATCCCCTTTAATTTTCAACTTTTGCTTTATAATTTATGGCACTTGAAATCATCTTTGCTGAACACCTGATAATATTTCGGGTGTATGAAGAAGATTTGTTTTCTTAATGATGCTTTAAAACAATATTGCATTCTGCTGGTGTAGAATGGCGTCCCCACCCATTTTGTAAGGTTTCGAAAACAATTTTTTCATTGAGCATACTCAAATAAATAACGGATATATTAAATTGAAGTAATACTTTATTATTACTTTTTTTTTTGCTTACAAAAACATAACTAAAAAAAAAAAAGATAAAATAAAAATCACCAACAATAAAAAATACCAATAAAAATCTACTCATGCAAAAAATAAATAGTAATAATAAAAATAAATAGTAATAGTAAAAGTAAATAGCATAATAAATGACAAAACTAATTTTCACATAAAATATGATAGCTTTAGTATTTTCTTTTTAGAGTCTTTGCTACTGCTGGGAGTGGTAATTAGTGGCTAATTCTTTAGCAAAATATTGGAATATATTCTGCATTGATTTTTTGTGATTTTAAAATTATAATTAGCTGCAATGAACTGAAATTGAGTAGCACAAAATGTTCTGCATAAAGGGCCAGTAGCACCTTGAAAAAATAAAAAGCAAAATATTGACCATTGTACAAGAGAATCAGATGGAATATCAAGTTTGCCTCTGTTTAGGCTATATTATAATAATATTTGGTAGAGTTAACATAAATTTTTATTTCACTTTTTTGCACAAAGCCAGGTATGTAAACTATAGCCACTAATGTAGATTATTATCAAGCAGTACTTTTTCATCAGTAAAAAAAATCAGAAATATCTCTAAAACATGTGTCACAAGTTTGACCATCGATATAATCAACAGAAATGTCAAGTTTTTATATCAATTTAGTATATTGATTATTGAAACTTTTTTCAATTACATATTTAATGTTTATAAAGTAAGTTACTCCAGATCCCTGTTGAAAGCTTAAAAAAGATTTGAAAAAAGTTCTGTTGAAAACCAACCTAAGAAGACATACTTTGCTCCATTACTCAACAATGTTTCTATGAGATCAATTAAGCCATGATATGTATGTGATATTGCATTGCTAGTATCTAGCCTAAGCTGTTTTACATGCTTACCTATAGGTTTCATTTGACAGTTCAGCAATATCTCTTAGCAGTTGTCACTATTGATCACCAACTGAGTGGAGTTCTCTACATAATTCTTTTCTAAACCGAATGCCAATGCCTGGTGTTTTGACATTAACAACATTCCAAAGAAAAAATCATTTATTCAATAAATACAGCAGTACCTTCAAATGTTTTATTTTCAACCTCTGGATGCATTCTTAATGCATCTACTGTTTCTTTGCAAAAAATAGACAAACAAATATTTACAGATTATCTCTCTATTAGTTTTGGATAAACCTATATAGCTGTAAGTTTAGAGAGTTTAAAAAGACTATTGCATTCAGTTTTATATAAATTTAAAATATAATTTATAATTTTAAAATATAATCTATAATTTTAATAAAGTTTCTAAATGATTTTACTTAGCCAAAGCCAGTTCTCCATTGTTCAAAAATTGGAGCTCGCCAGTCTTGTCTGATAACCAATTGTTTTCTATAGATTTTAGGAGATGCACATAATTATACAATAAATATATACCTGATGTTGTTAACTACCTGATGTTGTTAAACATGGTTTACTATCAACTGTTTTAAACATTTCAAAAAACCTTTGATTTATACGGTTACCATCAGTAAATATTGCCAGTGTCTTACTATCTTCAATATTTATTGTATTAACAACTTGTTGATATTGAGCTAACTGAAATTCAGAGGAAAGATTTGCAAAAGGTTGAGCTCCACATATAAATTCTTAACCTCCAAAAAGACATTTAATCATAAAGGATAAAATTGTTTTAGCTAACTTTTCAGGGTAGTTTACTGCTTGACTAAACAAAGCACCTCTTCGGTAAAGTAATGAAGCATTGATATAAACCTAGCACCTCTTTGGTAAAGTAATGAAGCATTGATATAAACCTTATCAATTAGTAGTATGGAAGTTCTTTTTAATGGATTTAAATTCATAAAAATACTATTTACGAAATTTAGGTCCTCTATTGAGTTTTTTTTGAAGTCAATGGTGTTAAAGTCCATATACTTGGCAACTTGTAGTCAATACACAAACGATAAACTTCATCATATAACAGAATACTCATATGCTCTACATATAATATCTGGAATATATAAAATTTCACTAACATTAACTTTTCTCATAGCATTAAGGTGCTCAAATATTTGACTGATGTGAACATTCTTTATTTTTTAAAAATCTTACTGCTTCAAATAAAGCTGATTTTGTTTTTATTAACTTTAATTTGATTACAAGATGAAATATTAAAAGTTGTGCCATTATGGTAAGCTACAAATAAATAATCATCAAAAATTTCTAAAATAAATAATGGAACACCAAGTTTGTACATTTTTAATTGAATGTGTAAACCTTTTTTTTTAGGCTGGAAAACAATACCATCGTTATTATCACTTAACACAGATTGAATATCGTCATATATAAGTTCACCCTCTTTAAGAAAATCACTTAACTCATCTGGTAAAATGTTTCGAAAACCACTTGAAGTTACAGCTTTTCTAACTTTACATGGTGGTGTGGGTAAACAACAGGCGGAATATTTAAATTTGAATATAAGGCTGTTGGTTCCCATATTTGCTTTCAGATGGTACATCATCTGGCCAATGTAGTCAACATACTACTGTATAGTCTTAAATAATAAAACCAGTTCTTGGGATAGCATCACTCCCATCACTCCATTTCTTGGGATCTTGGGATAGCATCACTCCCATCACTCCATCTTTTACTCTCCTCTGGATTCTTTGGGAATTTATAAATTGATATTTTTGTTGTAATTGAGTGATAGTTTGACTTGCGAAGAGGTATACAGCATTTTAAAGACATTTTAATTATTAAAATATCTTATTGTTAGTTTGACAATATTACTTTACAATTTTACAAACATTAACGTCTTAAAGTTGTGCTATCTAATTTATAAACCAATCAAATTAAAAAAATTTATTAAAAAAGCACGAAAGCAAACTTTCGTCTAATGTTAAAAGATTAAAAAAGTAAACTTTACTAAAAGTATATATATATATATATATATATATATATATATATATATATATATATATATATATATATATATATATATACATATATACATATATACACTTTTAGTAAAGTTATGTATTTATTTAAATAAACCTTTATAATCTTCTTCTGTATAAAGCCAAACTTTAACATTTTCAGGAATTGATATGGAAAGAATTTTATCTGACCAAGTTTGTGCTAAATAAAAAAGTGAGTTTATAAATTGTAAGCAATTAACATAAAACAATATAACTAAAACAACTGACAAAAAACAAGGTATCTTCAAAATTACTTACGAAAAGCACATTTTCCCCATTTTTTATATGCTAATTTGTCATCAACAGCTGTTGCACACCAATATTTTTCACCATCATTTGCGCATTTTTTATATGTTGTTTCACCATACTTAAAAGGAAATATACACTGTAGTCCATCCACAGTCAATATATCTCCATCTAAAAATTTTATTTATTTAATTTATTTACATTATTTATTATTTATTTATTTATTATTGTTTCAAAAACTCATCAATCATTAACTAATAACGATTATTATTTAATGTAATATTATTATTATGTTACAATGTTATGTTACAATTATGTTACAATGCAATGTTACAATTATGTTACAATGTTATGTTACAATTATGTTACAATGTTAGGACAAGTAAAAATTAGTTCAAATTTTTTTTTGTGAGAAAAAAAAAAAACTGTAAGAGAAGCATTATTAAATTTGTTTATTTTTTAATTTATAAGCAAAAGTGCTAATTAATTAAAACTAATAATAAAACACATGAAAATTTTTTTTTTGGAATCCAGTTTAACAGTGAAAAATAATTTCATTTCTTAAAACCATGGTTTAACACCAACTACCAAGAAGCTCTTTTAAGTATGTTTTGCTTGTGATTTAAACGTTGTATATTTAAAGGTCTATCTAAGCTTTTCAGCTCAGGTTTGTGAAATCACGAGAGGTCACAAGGTCCTGAAATAACAAGAAAATCAATGTGAAAAATATTAAAACCAAGGTTAAATCAAAGTTAAAAAAAACTTGAGCATAAATTAGTATAACAAATAAAATAAAAAACTCAGCATATATTGTCTCATCTAGGTCATCTAGGTCATCCAGCTCATTTGAGGGGCTGAATGAAATGAATGGTATAACTAGTTTGAAAACTTGGAGAAAAGAATAAATGTGAGCCAATAATAAAAAAAGTAAATCAATTGCTTTAAAAGACTTTAGCTAGGGTCCGATGAGACCAATGATTTTTTTTTTTAACTTTTTTTGCAAGAATACTCAAAAACTCTATTGGTAACACCCTTTAAATAAAATTTCGGAAAAATTTTAATTGCATTTATTATGTAATTTATTTCGTGCAGGCAAAAAACCTTTATACTTATTTAAAAGAGGATTTTATAATCTATTTAAACTTAATTTAATTAAGTTAAAAATATTATATAAATATTGAAAATAAAATGGTCTAAGTGGTGTAGTGGTAAAACACTTGCTTCATAAGTGAGAGGTTCCGAGTTTGATCCCCACCACGTCCCTGGTAGTACGGCGCTCAACTTGTTTCTCCGCGCAGCGGCCTTGTTTGTCAAGGTTCGTGTTTTGGAGTTATAGAGTTGAGAGAGGGTTATAACCACTATTAGCCTAGTAGCCTAGAGGGTTATAACCACTATTAGCCACTAGTAGCCTCCTCGTCTGTAGTGGCCTTCTCGGCCTTGAGGAGGTGAATAACAAAAAAAAAAAAAAAAGTAAAGGACCTCGAAAAAATGATGGAAATTTTTTTCCAAAAAAATCGAGAAAAAAGTAAAGTGTTTGTTGCTAAGCAGTTTATGGAATAGGATTTACCCAGATCAACTGCTTATGATAAAATTGTAAAATTGAAGAATAAATCTCTAAAAAAAAAAGTTGGAAGTGGTCAAATAGCTAAGGTTGCTATTAAAAAAAATAATCCAAAGATTGCTGCATTTATTGAAAATAAGTCAGGGTGCTCCCAAAAGAAGGTAGCTCAAGTTTTTAACTGTAACCAAAGTCCAACTTCCCAAGTATTAAAAATAATTAATAACATTGGAACTTTAAAAAAAATTAATTGTCCAGTTCGTAACCATCAGCAGAAGAAAGCTGTGTGTCCTAAATGTCGTAAATTGTATAAAAATTATAAAAACTTTTGATTTTGTTATGGATGATGAAAGCTATTTTACCTAAAACAATAGCACATTAGCTGGTAATGATAGGTTTTATGCCGCTGATCCTTCTCAGTGTTCTGACAAGGTAAGACACAATTTGCATAAAAAGTACGAGGACAAGCTCCTAGTTTCTTGTTGCATCAGCCCCTGTCGATAAGCCCTCTTTATATTCATCACATTAAGCAGGCAATCAACCAGTACACTTATAAAGAGACACTAGAAAAAAACTTAACTTCCTCTAGTATCAGAATATTAACAAGAAGACAATGAGTTTATCTTCTGGCCTGGTCTAGCTCGATCACATAACGCAAAGTCGGTCATCGACTTTTTAAAATTGAAAAAAATCAAAGTTGTACCCAAAGTTATAAACCCAGCTAACGTTCCAGAAGCAAGACCAATTGAAAACTTTTGGGATGATTTAAAACGGCTAGTGTACGAGAATAATTGGAGAGTTGAGAATTTGGAAGAGCTTGAAGCAAGAATTAGATATTGTTATTCAAAGATGAATAAAGAAATTTTCCTTACTCAAATAAAACATCTTTCAAAAAAACTTTATAATATTGCTAAATATGAAATAATTATTTTAATATATTTATAAATAATTATTTTAATATAGTTATAAACTACATATACTAACATATTAACAGTTAAAATGTTAAATAATAAAACTTATTAGTTCTTAAAATATTAATTTTTAAATTTTGTCCAAAATTTTATTTATGAGGTGTTATTAAAGGAGCTTCCTTCTAAATTGTTCAACTTTGAATTGCCGTAACTTATAAAACAGAAAAAAAATTTCAATTAAAATTTTTTTAAGTTTTAGATATAAATCTGCATTTCTTTTTAGTTTAAGCAAATAAAGATTAATTTCAATCAATTTTAATTTTAAAATATTAAATACTTTACCAGTGTATAAAACGAAAAAGTTTAATAAGTGAAAACAAAAATTTGTAGCTAATTTAACGTTACTTTGTACGTATTGAAAAAAAATCTTTTTTACTGGCTTAAAAACTAAAACAAACAATTTCTATGAGACAGATAAAATTTGCTTTTTCCCAGCATTGTTTTAAAGCTTACATAATTATTACAACTATTATACATAACAATGCATACACCATGAGGCAGACATACAGTACACCAGGTATACACCCTGGTACACCAGGGAGCAGAGATAATAGGAGGTAAAAAAAGAACTTAGGGCTTTTTTTTATTTAAATGAACATAAAAAAGTTTTGAGTTAACGCTATAACTAAATGGTAATATTTTTAAGTATTATAAAGTCCTTCAAAATAAGTTACAAGGTTCTATCAGCATAAATAGTTGATTAACTTGAAGTTTGAACTTAAAGATGGCTACTTACAAAAACAATAATTTATGCAAATATTTTAAATGCAGTTAATACAGATTTTGGAATCTTTCATCCAAAAGTAGAGGTAATCTATCTAAAAATCTTAAAATTATGATGGTAGCTATTTAAATCTAATTTAAAAAATTATTAAAAAGTCAAATTTAAATTATTTAGCTAATTTAAATTATTTAGCTAATTTTAAAAAAAGAATTTATTTAATGCATCAAATCTTTTTGTACTTAATTTCAGTTTAGTTTCTTTTTAAATAATATTTTCATTATCATTGAAATATTTTTTTGTAGTTGTTTAAAGAAGAGATTGAAATATCTTGTTCAGTAATGATGTTACAATCTTTAAATCTCCATTTTTCAATAACAAAACTGAAAAACAAAAATATGTTAACATATAAGAACTTATCACAACTTCATCTGGAGGCAAAATTATATTAACTTAATATTTAGTTAATTTAAAAACTTATGACGACAGATCATTCTCATGATTGTATTGATGAAATTTATGACAAATATCATAAATTATCAAATTATAAATTATCATATCATAGAAACTAAATTTAAAAATTAACTGAAAATTTTAGTTAATATTCAACCATATCTGATTTTCTTGAAGATTTCATAAAGATTCAAATTAGTAACTATAGCAACAAAAATTAAAAATATAAAAAATAACACAGACAGAAAAGTAAAAAAAAGCTGAAAAAATTGTCAGTTTGAAAAAAGTTTTACCTTAAACATGAATGATGAAAAATATTTTTATTTCAAGATATAAATGTAATATAACAGCTTCTCAGACTAAAGGTTTTTAAAATGATAACAGGTGAAAAAATTGTTTGCAAAACCTATTTTTTTTTAAACCCTGATTTAGTCAAAAAATATATTTCTAATTTACATAAAAAAAAGAATCCTTTGATTGGAATGCCAAAAGTGGACATAAAAGATATTACATATAGAGATACTAAACACAAGGTATCAGATGATAAAAATCAAACATAAAGTAATTAACTGAATAAATTCATTCCAGACAGATAACATTCATGTCATCACGCGCCATAAATTACTTAGTCTCTAAATGTTCAAAACCCAAAAGTTTTAAACATTCAATTTAATAAAACCATTAAAAAGTAATATTTGGACCGAAGGATCTTTTGAAAGAGCAACAAAGAAAGAAGAGCAAAGAGCAAAGAAGTAATGATTTTTATTTTCTATCATCTTTGGAAGACACTCCCATCACTCCATCTTTTACTCTCCTCTGGATTCTTTGGGAATTTATAAATTGATATTTTTGTTGTAATTGAGTGATAGTTTGACTTGCAAAGAGGTATACATTCTATTCAATCTATCTTTGTAACAATCAAGCAAATAAACATTAAAAAAGACGTCCCTCAAGATTACTGGAGTTATAATTGTGTTCTTTGATAACTCAATTTTGACAACATATTTAATTAAAAATATATTATTTAATTTACACTTAAAAATTCAATAGGATGTCAAAATAAAACACCTAATATATTTTATTTTGGTCAACCAAAATAAAATATACTTTTATGTTGGTTGATTTATTATATAAATATATTAAATGTCATGATTTTACAGATCAGTTAAAACATTGAAAAAAATTTGTATTGACAACATTTCTGATTATTCTAAAAAATATCAGATGTCTGGAAACTTTAAAACTAGATTAATCTGAAAGTATGTGCCAGATAAACAGAAAAAAATCTCAGTTTACAGGATCTACAACAAGAATGTGAAAACCTTTATCCAAAACATGGAGAAGAAAAAAACTAGAGAGCAAAAAAGATGCAAACCTCTTTTTAATAAAAACCAACAACAAAAGCAGCACAAAATACTTTTTTAAGAAATTAGAGCGTTACACTAAAACTTTCAGCTCTGAATGAGTTCAGTTTTAACAAAATGTACAAATTCTTTACATAGAAGTCTTCTATATAGAATCTTCTACATAGAAATCTTCTACATAAAAATCTTCTACATAGAAATCTTCTACATAGAAATGGTCTCAGAAAGAGTGGAAACAGTTATAATAAGTTTGGACAATTGTATTGTTTGTTCTAATGAGTTTCAATGATTAATGAGTTTAGAAAAATTTTACTGAAACTATCTACACTAACAGTGTTCATATGAATGTTTAGGTGGTTTTTTATTGTTACAAATATTTGATAAAAAATGAGCAATGGGTTGATTGACAATTTGTGTTCTCTAAGTTTTATTAAAAAAAATGAGTCATAAAGATAAGTTTTTAGTCTTACATTTATTTTTGTTCCAATTTTTCACCTTTTTTTGTACAAGCTTACCTTTAATCTAATATGGTATTTTGTTTATAGTTGGCATGTATTTATGTAATAAGAAGCACTTTGTTTCATTAGGAGCACTTTTAGTCTTCAAGTCAACATTTTAAGCAAATGCATAGATTATCATTTTGGTTACCAAGTATTTAGGTTACCAAGTATTATCTCCTCAATAACATAACATCCTCAATAACATGGTGTTCTTCAAACACCATGAGATTACTGAAAATAATTAATAAATGACTAAAATTTGAAATTTTTCTTTACACCAGAGATTATCCTATTCATATTTTAAATAACCTAAAAGTTTTTTCCTAAAAATATCTGGAAAAAATCAGGAAAGTATTTTTAAGAAATATCCAGAAAAATTTGGAAATAAAAATGCATTTTGTGTAACTAAGAATATTTCATGTATTTGAATGAAATTCATTATTTGCTTGCAAATAATGAATTTCATTCATATATTATTGCATATTGTTAGATTATTCAATGTGTTATTATAAATTAATTACTTAATATATATGTTTATTTTATAGAGTTTTGAGAAGCTTTATAACAAACAAATATTTATAACCAAACAAAAACTACCAAACAAAAAGTAAACACCTGAATAAATAAAATTCATAAACAAAAGGTTTTTAAAAATTGTTTTCAGTTCAAGAACATAAAATTAAAATTAAGAGCATAATATTTAAATTTTTAAATGTTTAAATTTTAAAAAATTTCAATTTAGTAAAATAGCGTAGTACTATCGACATTACTGTAGTAAAGATATAAGCCGACAAGTTACAAGTTCGAATCCTCCATAGAAAACTTCTATTTTTTTTATTCCTTAGCTCCAAAACCAACTTAGTCATGTTGTTTTCATAACTATAAACTTAATTCTTTATTTTTTTCTTGAAGTTTACTTTTAGATTTAAAATTTTTTTAATAATAAAGCAAATTTAATTAGTATGTTTCTTTCACTAATCCTCAGTCCCCTAACTACTTCTTATTTTTCTGGTATACTTTTACAAATGTACCAGAAAACATTAACATCTTATCCTTAGTCCACTATCAATTTCTTGGTGAAATTTTTCTCATATATTTGAAGGTTATATCTAGTTTAAAACTTATTTAAAAATTGGCAAAGAAAATCATTTTTATTGAGTTACTGCTAATGATTTATAAGAAACCTAGTAACTAACAAGTAAATTAGTATACCATAAATAATAAAACCTAGTAACTAATTTGAAAAACCTAGTAACTAACTAGTAAGATAAAAACTTCTATAAAAAAGTACATACCAGCCCCACTGACCATTTTTAAATCAGGATAATCATTTATAGCAAGCTCATCACATCTTCCATCCTTTAATAAAAACAAATTCTTTCATGTTACTAATGTACTAAGTAGTTATTAAAATTGTTTTTGAACAAATTTGCTTCATTATAAAGTTTTAGAATTATTGCTAACAAAATAAGAAGTAGTGTATTTGAACAATAATATCCAGTTTGCTATTTAGACCATGAAAGGAAACAAAAGATGAAATTTTTTTTTGTGAGGCAAGTTCAGAATAGTTCTTTTTTTCTAAAAAATCTTCAAATGACATGTTAAACTTCTAACAGAGTACCAAAAAAGCTGTGTCCTTTAAAGTAATTACATGTTGAAGATTGTTTGGTTACATTTACCATGACATGAAAATGTCACAAGAGCAATCAAAAAAAATGAAGGAGATAATAAATAATGGAAATGCTGACAGTTTTAAGATAAAATTTCATGTGCATCAGGGTTCAGTGTTCAGTACCTTTATTTTTTATAACTGTGTTATAAATTCTTTTTATGGATTGCAGTGTTAGTTTAAGAGCAATCAAGATTTAATTAACATGATTGTAACTGTAAAAGAAAATACTAGTAGATTAATGTTAGAAAAATAAATAGAAGAAAAAAGAGGCCAGGATAAACATGAACAAAACAAATGTTAAAGTCTACAATCAGAAAGCTGAAAGAACTGGAGAATGGTCACACTAGGGTTTCTAACAGCTGTTAACAAAAACTGTGAAAAGGCTGTTTTTTAGCCCAAATCGGAAAACAGGAAAATGCTATTTTTTTGCTACCTGTTTTTGATTTTTATCTTAATATTTTTTTCTAACAGAAAATAAATAAAAAATTTTAAAATAAAGAAAAGTTTGATTTTTGAACGATTTCTGGATTTTTAATATGAATTAAACTTAAAAACATTTGTTTTGTGAAGCGAGTATAACGATTGTTACAAAACCAATTCCCTATGGACAATCATTTTTAATACTCGTTTAGAATAATCATTAAAGATTGCAACACAAGCCTTCCCTTTAGAGAAATATATGAAAAACTCTTTAATGAGTGCAAAACTATTCCCTTAAGAGATTTATTCCACACGAGGAATTCTCGCACAGTTTAAATAACGATACAAAAAACTACACATAGTTTTAACAAAATATAATTACTTGTAATAGTTCAATATAATATAGAAATAAATGTTAAACAAAACATAATACTGGTTCTCTTTCCTATAAATAAGAATACAAAACATAACAGCGAGGTTGAGTTGTTGATATTATTGGCTTAACTAATTGAGTTTGTGATTATTTCAATGTTTTGCTAGAAAGTAGATATTATTCTATTATGAAAAATATTTATTATTTATGTATATAAGAAGGAGTTTACAATTGCTGCATTTATGTCATTAAGTGCTTTTGATGATCTATCATAAGCTTAAAGGTTCACTTAAAATTGAAGCATGGAACTGATTGGTCTCAAACTAAAAAAAATCCTCTTGAATAAGTTGTAGCAGAAAAGAAACAATGCTTGATTTTGTTCAACATAAGAGCTTAAATGAAATAGTTTTTGACATGACCACCAACAGAATATCCATTAGAGCTATCACCAGAAATCAGTTCATTCACAATGCAATTAAAAAATAAAATAAATCAACTTAAAAAAAATAAGAGCGAGGTAATGAAGCTTATCAACGCTAATTTTCATAACAAAAAAAATCAAATAGTTTCAGAAATTGTTTCAAAAATTGGTAAGGGAAGAAAAATTTAGTATAAGTGTTGACGAGTATACGACTGTTCACCGCCGCCGCTTCTTTGGAATAAATCTGCATTGTAGTGAAGCAAATAAAACATACAAATTGGAATTATTTTGTATTGTTGGATTGTTCAATCCTGAAGCAACATTTAAAAAAACATTAAATCACTTGAAGAGTTTTTTAATTAAATTTGAAAAAGATTTGGTTGTGATCAACACAAGACAGTGCAGCAATCAACAAGAAATATATGAAAATTATTAAGATTATCAACCAGTATTGCATTACTTTTTTTACTACTTTATAGATATATAAAAACATATAGTGGACTGTTGTACTTGTTGGAATATACAAATATTATTTATAGCAGACTGTTGAACTTGTTGAAACAATAACAAAATAATTTGCTCAAAACTCTAACAGTTTTATCAAATATTGAATTTATTTTATTTAAAAGAAATGTCTGCAAATGTCTGTACTTTATGTATAGTATATAGTAACCATGTGCTTTTTTCTAAATAAACATCCTATTTTTTAATTGACAGAATATTTTTTTATGTAATTACCTGACTCAGTTTTTCTTTTTCACAAACTCTAACACGCTTTTTTATTTCTGTGAGCGGAATAATTTTAATAGATTTCCAGCTACCAGGTGTAAGTCCAATTACAGTTGCTCCTGGAAATGGCCCATATGAAGCACCTAGATAATTATAAAAATAACAATAATAACAATAATAACAAATAAGAGTAAAATAAAAAAATAAAAATTATATATAAAACAACATCAGTCAATGTTGCAAGTTTTTCACTAACTGAATTATGAACTGTTGGAACTGGCGTTACTGTGAACGCAGAAACAGTCAATGCATTCAAGAATCAGTTGGACAATCTACAGCATAGTTGCTACAGTGGCTTATCCACAGATGGGCTACTGCGTGTGAGACAATAAGCTCACATTGCAACTTATTATAACTATTTATACTTTAATTGTGATTAAAAAGCTTATGACATTTATGATAGTACAATTAATGAAGAGAAACATAAAGATATAATGTTAATATTTATATTTTTATTGCGATTGAATGGAAATTTATTTGCTTATGACATAGTATATATACAAATATATGACATAGTATATATATATATATATATATATATATATATATATATATATATATATATATATATATATATATATATATATATATATATATATATATATATATATGACATAGTAAGTAAACAAACTTCACAAATTGCTCTATTATTTTTTTTCAAAAGTATAAAAAAAAAAAAAAAAAGGTACTAAGCAATCAACAAAACGTTAATTTACCATTTATCAAAAAGCCATATAAGACTTTCTATTAATCATTTACTATTATTATTAATTAGAACAAAAATAAAAGAACAAAACTAAAAGAACAAAACTAAAATGTTAATCAGTGTTGTGTTATGTTAATGCTTTTAACATAAAAATAAATAAGGGATTAGATGAAAGTCTAAAAGTATATACTTCAAAATTATAACCATCAGTATATGCAGTTTTAAAACCAATTTCAAATTGAAAAAGACAATAAGTTGTAGTACCATATGGTATTTTTGTTTCACGATATAAACAAATTATTAAGAATCTGCATTTTTTGGGGAAAAAATTTTATCAACAAAAACTGAGGTTATGCATGATTTTCATTTGAAAGGTGTTGCTGTTTAACAAAAGAGCAAAAAACAAATCATACAATAAAAGATTGCTTTGGATGTCAAAATGATCTTAGGTTTAAGTATATGTTATCAAAATTCCGTAATCGATGCAATTCGTATCAACCTGTTGCATTCAAAAATGGTCTAAAACAAAAAGAACTAATGTTAAATGACATTACAAACACAACAATATCAAAACTTGATTAAGAATACCAAAACAAATTTCAAACAACTTTTACAAAAACATATTCCTAAATACTAAATTTAAAAAACAAGCCCCCAGATGAAATGTGCAAGCAAAAAAAACATTTAATTAAAGACACTGTGAAGAATATTGAAAATCAATCGAAAGAAACATCAGTTGTAAGGTAAATATAAATATTTCTAAAGTTAAAAAGCAATTATATATTTTTAAAAATATAATTTTAGTTATTTTTCTTAACATTTAGAACATATGAAAACTTTATTTCCCTTCGAACTAGAAATAAGCATAGACTTAGTGCAAGTATAGAACCATTTGAGCAAGCAGAACAGCAATCTTATAAGTTTAGAGAAAAAGTAGATAAATTAAACATTTTATATATTTATAACTGTTCACAAGTATAGTATTGATAAGACATATTATTTATAATTGTTCACAAGTATAAGTGTGTTAGGCCACTGAGACTTCATAATACTCTTGGGTGAATTAAAACAAAAAAGTGTGTGTGTATATAATATATACAAATATATCATTCTTATATACAAAGTTCTTCATTTGATGATTCAAGTTTTATAAGTAGTCTTTATTTCAATTCAAAATTTTTATAATTACTTACACACAATTATATATAATGGTTAACAAAAGTATTTTTTTAACAATAGGGTATAATAAAACCTAAAAAACATGTTGGATCACCACATCCATATAGAAACCAACTGAACTTATGTCTTGAGGAGGTAAATCTTTATAAAAGTGGAGAAAAGATTAACTACTGTGGTCTTGCAAGAAAATACAATATAATTGATATTGCAAGTAAAAGAATTTCTAACGGAAAACAATGTAACAAGTTTATCTGACATAAAAAGAAATATTGGAGAAATGTTGTTATTCAAAGAAAAAAATGAAAGTAAAATTATATTAAAATTATTTTTAAAAATAATTTTTACAACAGTTCATGGGTTTAATATATTTGTTATTATATATTTTTATATTTTACGGTGTTTTTTTTATTTCTAAATATTAAAGGCCCTTAATTCATTTTAGCTCACTTTTCCAAAAAATAATACTCATTAAATTAGTAAGTATTTTTTTTTGGAAAAAAATTACATTTATTATATACTTTTTACCTATTTATCAAAGGCTATGAAAGATGCAATAAAAATTAGTAAATTTTTATTATTAATTACAATTTAGAAAAAACATATGTACCTATGTATAAAACTACTTAAAATTTATATATTTTTTAGGCTAACAAATCATGTTTCCTTTCCCCAAGAAGAAACAAATTTTCAGGTTGCAGCACAACTGAATTCACTTATATCCGAAAATAAATATTTATTAGGAGAGCTTATTGCTCCACAAATTTTATCCAAACTTGTTTTAAGAAATAATGAAATACAAACTGAGACATTTACTATAGATGGCCGAGTACATCCACTAGAAACAATTAGAGAATACATAACAAAAAATCATTGGATATATATGAGAAATAAAACTAACGTCTTATAGCATGTTCAAGTTTTGACATCTTATAGCATGATAATTTGACTATATGCAACCACAGCCTTAATGACAGGTTCATCTTTATTTGATCCAGCAATACATTAAATATCAACGAAAGTATAAAACTGTAAACGTTCAAGCGGTTGTTAAAGCTCCTATATGGTATATCTTTGGGAGATGTTCAACTACAGATGAAATGCTTGTGTACTCAAAACAAAAAATAAATGATATTATTGGCATGGAAGACCCAATTAAGATAAAAGATATTGAAATTTACGATGAAATGAGGTTCTTTAAAGGTGATGGTCCTGCAGCCCAATTTGAAGCAGGTCAGCAAAAGGGAGGAAATTATGTGTGCTGTTTTTGTGACATTAATGCTGTTGAGCATTCAAATTATTCATATTTATTACATCGAACTTGCAATGATTTACAAAATCGACAAAAAAAAAGTCCTATTTACAGAACAATCAAGGAGGAAAAATCCTAATAAATTAAACAAGCTTTGTACACATTTAAAAAAAAAAAAGAAATTATAATCGAATTAAATCAACGCAGTGAAAAGTTCACTGAAAATGAATCAAAGCAAAAGTTGAATTTAAAATTAACAACAGCCATGTAAGGTATTTAAAGAGTTCCAAGTATCATATTTTATCAACCCAATATCAGTTTACCAGAAATCAGATTATCAAAATATGAGTTATTAATGGAACCTCTTCATGACGTTTTTAATCACATAAAAAATGTTCTTGCAGAACTGCCCCATCATTTCGATACAAAAACAAAAAGAGAAATTGAAAGAATTATTGAACTTTCTTTTAAAGAAAAAAAATGTTAAAAATGTCCAGTACACCTCTAATTACAATGTGCCAAAAAAATTGGCTTCATAAAATCTAATTGTTTTTAAAAATGGCCATGTTACTATTGTTATTATATTATACAATTTAGTATTCTTCAGAAAAATGGTCAAATAATTTAACCGAAAATAATTTTGAGTTTTAACAAAACTAATAAACTTACTTTCCACACCCCTGGTTGAAATTATATATATTTTATGATAAAATACAAATAATTTAGCCTCTTAAATTTAAATTTAACTTTAATTCACTCCCCTTTTCGGAAACTTAGCCACAGCCCTAAAATAATTAAATCAAAATAGGAAATAAATACTTTTTTTAATTGTAAAAAAGAGCAAGTAATTACGTTAAAAATAAAGTTTAATAAGACAATACAAGACTATTGCGATAAAATTTCTAATGGTTTATTGCAGATCAGATATTTACCGGAAATATCTTAATTGTTTAAACTAATAACCAACTGAAGGCAGTTTTCTGAAAAGCACCTTAACTACGCTGAGCTTCAGACTTCTCCATTTAAACGTTATGCTGTTATAAGAAGGATTTATTAAACAGCCACAATTTAATATTTTCGTGCAATAATTTTTTGTACTATATTTTGACAATATAGTTGTACTATATTTCTTAATATCCACTTTATTTTATGACATTATATATATAAACTTTATTTTAGGACCTTATATTATAGGGCAGTGGCGGGTAATGAGCTTTCAGAGTCCGGGGCTAATTTGTTAGAGGCCTTTTTTTATATGTTGTAGCCTAGAAATGACTAAAAGGTCCAGGCTTTAGCTGCCCCCCCTAGCACTCCTTGATCCAGCACTGTTATAAGGTCATAAAATTAATTTAAATATAAAAGATCATTAAATAAAGTGGGAATTAAAAACTTCAAGAAACTTTAAATCATTATTTTTTGTTTTTGCTTTTTTTATGCTTTTTTTATATTTAAATCTTTCTACTTGTTTCTACCCTGAAATCTAAATTTCAGTTAATATTTTTTTAGTTTAAGGTGGTAGTCTATTTTCAAATCTAAATCCTTTTTATTTATTTTTTTAATACTTTTTCAAAAAAATCAATATTTAGGTACAATACAAAAAACCTTATAAATTATTGGACATGTTTTGGTCGTAAACAAATCGAATGTGGTGGGAATCGAACTCATAACTTCTCGCATATGAAGCGAGCGCTCTACCACTACACCACTACCGCATTACCTCAGACATTACCTCAGACATTGAGTCTCCATTTAGCAAAGTAGACTAAAAACCATTAATTATTATTTATTATGACTTACTAAATCATAATAAATATTATTATATGAAAATATTTATTAAAAAAATTCACATAATTACATATTTAACTGCTAAAAATTGAATAAAATGCTTTAAGTGAAATATGCATTGAACTAATTAAAGGTTGGGTTAAGTAAAATTGACACCTTTTACT